AGGGCCTCGCGCGCATGGAGCCCCCTCCCTGGAACCTTATAGACCACATTTTGCGTCGCGTGAAACAGACATTTTAGCCAAGTTTGCACATCCCATCAGCCTGACTGGCGGGCCCTCAGTGCGCGGCGCATCCAAAGTTGACGTGATCGGCGCTAAACGAACCATATCCTGCTCCTGCTCCACCACAGGATACGTTCTACATGCGTTCCTGGCTATTCGAACACGCTCACTTGGAACGGTACACAGGAAACGGGTTTTTCGCGCAGCTGGGAGTGTTCCTCAAGAAATCCCCATAGCGAGATCTCATGAATCCCGAGAGCTTCAGAAACAGTTCAAGAGGTTTTCAGAAAGAGAAAATCTTCAAACACTCGGATCCGTTCTCAGATTTGTGAAATGTTGAGTTACAAAAAAATATATATTGGTTCAAACCTGTTCAACTTAAAAACTTTCAACCTTCCACTCCCCATCGAAATGCGCTGATGGGCAGATTTCCTTGTGATTTTTTGCGACCTTCATAAACGTTTCAGTACATTTAGGAAGTGCAATCCTCCTTCTTCTACACGAATACGGTCTCCTCTTCCCCACAGGTCCGCTTTTGAGGAAGTTATGGTCCTTCAAAGACACCCTACTTTGCTGAAAATTCTCGCTCCATGGCTAAATAATTGCGAATCGATCCTGCGGGTCACAATCTGCCAATTAACATGCGCTTCTGCTACCGTACTCCAATAATCGGGGTAATGCATTTTTACGGCGGTTTGTATAACTGTTACGTAGTGAGACAAGCCTAACTTTCTCTTTTCCTCGTCCTCATCTTGAGAATATGACGTTGTTAAAGCACTGTGGATTCCGCTGATGCCGCTCCAGAGAGGAGACGTCCACTCAGAACGAATGCTCATTGAATTTAATCGCGATATATTGTTATTATTACCAGTGTGTTGTTTCAAAACGGCCATCGAAGAAGTTCATCATACGAGTTTCTCATAATACGATTGTACCGTTTTTTGTTTGCAATCATCTCTGTATTGTTCTATTATGTCATGACTTCAAGTCGTCCATTTAGTATGGGCACCTTCATACAAGTAGAATTTCATAGTGGGCGTTTCATTTCATTTAAGGCGAAAAAAACCGAACGGCAAAAAAAAGGGGGGGGTCGTACCGAACCCCCAAAAAAGGGGGGGGTCGTACAGGCTCGACCAAAATCCCCATCGAATGCTGTGCCCTGGGAAGAGGTGATGGCATAAAGGAAATTATTATTATTGTTCTATTATTTATAGAATTGTATTAATTATTATTTATTATTATTATATTACTATTATCATTATTTATTATTATTATATTACTTATTATCTTATTATTATATATTTTATATTATTTCTAGCAATCAGACCACCATATAATGCAAATCTCCATCGATCTCGCGAATATGTGCCTACTGGCTCTGAAAGGCGCCAGCCGCCGGAATGGATACCATACATGTGAACAAGTCGCCGAATAACTTCTACAGGGCAAGTCGTTTGTTCAGGAAGATTCATTTTCCGAGTTTTTGGAATCTCAATAGGGGTTATATAAAACCCAGAAACTGGAAGGAGCTTTGGTATTAGCCCGTCAAGCCGGCTGTGCAAAGGGCAGATAGTGGCTGCTATCAAGTTATGCGAGACGCGTCTTCGGAGTCTTAATCCACAACTAGTCGTGCTGGGTAGGTGGTCGTGAGCTAAGCAGAGCGGGCGACAGCCTCTTCTTCTAGTTGCGCTTGCACCACTTTCGCGCTACCGTATTCCACGCCTTATGCTAAAGGTTCTCTGCGGTCTTCATCAGTTGTTTTTCTCTCAAAGTCGTATTTGTTTTCTTTTTTTGTTTTTTAGCCTTCAATTTCTTCCCCTGCCGTATACGAACTCACAGGTTTCCCTTAATTTCCTTTCGACACCACTCCAAATATGAAATGAGCACAGCATTATCTGCATAAATAGTGCATATAACCGCGGGCAATTGCGGGGATTTGATCTCGAGATCGTCTCATAAGCCACTGCATCAGTGATTTCGGGTCATGCGTACACCTGCTGATGAAGGCGAACATTTATCCAGGATCTTCTTTTTATTTTCTTTTCACTTTCCTTTCGCACCTCCACGATATGTATATTTCTCCGATACGATTGTCGCATCGTACAGGGGGCGTCGGTTATGGTTGGTTCCCTGTGCAGATTCCACATCTATCCATCCTTTACTTGCAGATGGCCCTAAAAGTCCGCCCGAACCTTTAAACAGTTTCATTCAAAAATGATCACAAATTCCCTGGAAGTGCGGATCCCGCTTTTACGCAGACTTTGAAACATCTGCTTCGCGCAGTTGCAGCTAGGCTCTTGCTTGCAACGGTAGCACTACCTTCTACCATAAGACTTAATGTGTAGTCGTTGTTTCAGTTTCAGCGCGAGAACATAAAATTGTCGCAAGCACTTTAGGTTCTGAAGCTGCTCTTTTCCTAATCCACAGTTGAACAATTGAGAAACAAAAAACAGGAGCGTTAGTTCGGGTATCTCCGGGTGTGTGGTTCTAGGTATCACTGCCCTATTCTTACCAGGAAAGCGTTCAACAGGTCAGCCGGTCGCATTTCCAATGAGCTGCACACCATTGTACGCGTCTTGGGAAGGTGAACACAGAACTGTCTTCAAAATTTGCAGAACGATTCTCTGAACGGAGTTATGAAGGGTTTTATCCCCGCATGGTCGTTTCACGTGTTATCGCGAGGAAACGTTGAAGCGTCTTTACATTTACGTATGGAATCATTCTGAAACGTGGCAGCAGAGCGCAACGGATAGGGAGTGGGTTTCTTAAGCGGAACGTCGTAGGATCGGTTCTGGGGCAGGTTCCTTTTTTTGCATTTGTCCAAGAACATAGCTGAGAAAGCTTCTAACATCTCTGCTCGCCTGCACTACCCTATAAGGGACCTGCAATCAGTTTTTTTTTCGAAAGTGTAGACCCATTGCGGCCTGAAAGAGTGCTTCTGCTTGTACCCCTCGTAACACGTGTCACAAGGGTTTTTGTAATGAAATATCATCATATTCATGTTCAGCGGGTCGAATTACCCCTGGGGACAAGTTTCTGGCCGAATCTGATTTTTTGACTCATCATGGAATATGTGGCTTATTCCATGGGTAATTGAGCAGCAGATGGGGGCGTCACTAATACATTTCGATGACTGATCTTGGAATGGGATTTCCTCCCGATAGTCAAGAAAATAGTGCAGACGGCACGAATAAGTAAGCCAGCTACTGCTGTTTGCGGAAACACATGACTAACGAGTTATTTTTAGTTTCGAATACGGCAGTCACACCAGTACTGCTTGCTCCATAGTATTCCGATGTTAGCTATCAGTTAGCCATGACTATCCATACCCCGTTTTTCCGAAGTTGAGTCAGAAGCTCTGATTTCGCCAAGGTGACGTCCCTAGGGGTTATTTGACCCCCTGAACACGAATATGATACCTATTTTGGCGAAGAGCGCTGTGAATCGCGCTGGCACCGGTGCCAACGCTTCGGATGCCAGCGCGCCCGTAAGAAGAAAAACAGTAAAGAAAAACCTCAATAACTCCGCTCAGAGAATCGTTCTGCAAATTCTGAAGGCAGTTCTGAGTTCAGCGTGTAAAGATGAGTACAGTGATGTGCATCTCATTGCAAATGGCCAGGCTGACCTGTTGACCTTTCCTGGTTAGAGCAACAATAGTCAGTTTAACTTGAAGATAGACAACCGAAAATGAAGACGAGCTTACAGTTTCTTTCCAGACTGCTACGAGGAGCACTGAATCTAACAGTGGGAACTGTCCCCGGTGTAACCGTGGGCCTATATGGCTTCGAAATTTGTATACACATGTTCGAAGCGTCCGCTACAGGGAAGAGCAGGTAGCACGAGCAACTAAAGCTTTTATAAAGGCAGAGGAGGTAATGTAACGACTGAATTTCCATGTGGAGCGTGTGGCCAGATATTCCATTGGAAAAATGGCACGACAAAACAAAGCGAGCTAAATCGGTTTACTCGCAATGCCATATATTTGTCAAAAATTACTGATTCCACGCGATTAACTTTGAGTTTAGAAATACTTTGAGTTTAGGAAATACATTATTGTATAATATCAATGCAAGGGAGGGTCATGTTGTGTGCCCCGTCTGTGGGTACGCATTTACTTCGAACAGCCTCATTCGGAAAACAGAACCAAGAGGTCCCTTACCATGATTATACCATAATAAGCAGAAATATCTGCATTGGGATCGGGGAACCCTTCATGAGAGCAGGCAAGACGTTGTGGTTATGCAAGAGAATTGAAATAGCAAAATTAAACCCTATGTTACAGGACTGAAAACATGCGGAGCTCGCGACTAGAACTCATTTCGTAACAATAAACTCTTCCGAATTACCACATCGAAGAATGTTCAAGTATGTGTGCCAGCACGCTCGAGGGACAAAAAAAGTGTAGAAACCTGACTAGCCTATACAGAATACCAGGGCGGAGTCAGAGCCACTGTTCGGCTTCTTTAAATGTATTGTTAGTAATTTGTTCTCAGTTTTCTTCCACTAGAACTACGTTCCCCGTCTAAGCATCTTTTTTGGCCGACGGCAGCGTCGACTACTGCGGATGCTTTGGACATATTCGCCATGTTGTGACTACCGCCACACTTGTTTAACACCGCTACAATAGGTTTCGAAATTGGCTTTGCAGATACTCACGAAAATTCAGTCAGACAGGTGGGATCTCCTGCTAGAATATAATATGCGGCCGCGTATATGCTACTTCTGCTTGGAAGATACCAAGTGCGTTTGCATAGCCTGTGTTCGTGCCCTTCTGTTTCTTATTGACTTATGTGTGATTTAGGTATATTGCTCAAAAGAGAGGCCACGATGAAGGAAGATTGCATGAGAACGATCCGTTGTCATTTTGTTCCATTTGTTGTCGATTATCTTTTTGAACGCGTCACTGAATATAACACGTTACAGTTGTGAGACACCACTGATTGTATCGACGGTTTCGTTCCAGGCAACACTGTAAAAGTGGCGAGAAATTCTTGGCAAGATTCGCATGCAATGGACTGCTATTCGATGACACATTCGACGTGACACGCTATTCTTTTCGCCTAGCCTCCCTACTTGTTGCGACTGCTAGCGGGAGAGGGTTTCCCTGTTGCTCTTTGATTTCTTATCGCATAACGTCGAAAGAACTATCCGTGCTAATTCCTCAATCAAGGTATGGTCTAAAAGCGTATTACTAATAGAGTGGCTGAATGAAAGTATTTAGAAATCGATTCCGCACTTAGACAAGCGATATAGTATGACAAGCGATACCAATATTTTTTACAATGCATATGACGTAAACTTTCGTGTAGCACAAAAAATTCTGTGCTCGTTCCATATTTCAAAATGTGTGAAAAGGAAATTCGAGGAAACCTTGCAGGTAGTCCTGATATCAAGGCACATAGGGCCTTCAAAAACATTCGTGATTATAGGTGGAAGATGCGAAGAGGCGACACCAGCTCGTTTCGAACGGGAATATGCTGCATTTATCCTTGGCTCGCATCGAAGGGTGCGGAGGCTAGATTCCAAGTAAGGAAAAGTCTTTGCAAACGTTGAATTGAACATCCATATCCTGCTCCATCGAGCCGAGAAGCCGGTTTACAAGGTGCACAGGGGATGAGGAGGGTATACCTGAGTCGTAAACACTCGATGTGGAGAGTGCATCAGCATCGGGTTGGCAGGAAATATCAGAGCGTGTTTTAAGGCAAGATGAGGGAAAGCAGAGTACAAACTCGACGGAGTAAGCGTTTACAATGGTGACCATACCCATTATTGCAAAGTAACCGAACAACTATCTCATTTCTTTCAGGCGGAGTCCCATTTTGAAGAAAGTGCACGTCATTTTCTCCGCAAAGGACTTACGGATGTGCTGAAAGATCTTAGACTCGCAATTGAGGAAGCGGGAGAGCGTGCCTGAAATTCAATGTGAAGGCCTTTTGCAAAGGACGGCAGTTCAGGCACAAGGGATCACGCCGAATCCTAAACCTATTGCGGCCTATAAGAGAGCAAGTTTATGACCTTTCTGCTCGAATATTTTGAGTGGTCGAATATACGCTTTTCCAGAGGAGAGGAGTAATCGCGGACAAAAAGGGTGAAAAAAAAACGTATTACAGTGAGGACCGTTCAGTTGTGGATGCAGTCTATCCATCGCGATTTGTTGATTGTACGCTTTGTTTGCGGCAGAAGGCAACCGTCGAATCTAATCGAAGATCCTGTCCGGTAGTTTGGATGTACAAACCCAAAAAGCAAAGGTTTTGCTCATGCCCATTGTACACAAGAAAGGTTCTGCATCTGTACCATTGGCAATCTTGGAGTTTGGCAAGTAGATTATGGGGCCAATCGAAATAAAATATTTCCTTTTACTTTCTTTTTGTCAAGTGCCGTGGCCCTTGGCTATGAGTGATACCGTTTGGACGACGTACTGAGTCCCGGCTGCTGGGTCATCTATGTTGTGTGGAAACTTTGGCTGAATACTTTCATTAACGACGCCCAGCAGTCGAAACTCAGTGCGTCCAGATGGCATTAATCCTTTGCCATTCCTTCTTCATTCGATGTTATCATCTATTTTCGCTACATCTGGTGTCTACTTTTATGTGAACATAGACCTTTATTGGTCCGCTGCACACGGAACAGAAATTAGCAGCAGTTAAAAGAAAACGGCACTATTCAACTATTACTACCCCAGTTTTCCGAAAACCGGCCGGATCTTGATCGACTTTTTTCTACGGGGGCAGATTTGGCTGAAAGTTGGGTTCTAGGGGTAATTCGACCTCCTGAACACGAATATCACATCCATTTTGCCTGAAAGTGCCTGGCGCCCGCGCCACAGGCGCCGGCGCCAAAGTACCCTAGATCACCAAATCCGCTGAAAACTTGTACCCAGGGGTAGTTCGACCTCCTAAACACGAATATCACATCCGCTCGGCCTGAAACCGCTCGGCGCCTGCGCTACGGGCGCCGGCGCCAAAATGTCCAAATCACTGGCGCCTATGGCGCGGGCGCCAGGCATTTCAGGCAAAGTGGATGTGATATTCGTGTTCAGGAGGTCGAATTACCCCTAGAACCCAACTTTCAGCCAAATCCGCCCCCGTAGAAAAAAGTCGATCAAACCGGCCCTGTTTTCGCAAAACTGGGGTAGTAATAGTTGAACAGTGCCAAGAAAACAATTCAAGCCGACAGCAATGTCAGAAAAACGTGAGAATGAAAACAAAACAACTTTCAGTTTTCATGAGCACGATAGTTTCAACGGAAACAGAAAACATTTCAACCGTTGTGGCGATGTTCGTTGTCAGCTGTCAATGAATACATGTATACAAATAGGAGTACATATGTGTATATTCAATGAAAGCTAACAACCAACATACCAGCAGCGGTTGAGGAACATGAAAGAAGGAGTCAAAAAAAGGTGAAAAAGGCGAATGATAAAGGGAAAAAGTCGATAATGACTCCAAAAACTACTTTGCATTAGGAGTAGAATACGGTAGCGCAAAAGTGGTAGAATCGCAACTAGCAGATGGAGCTGGTGCCCGCTTTGCTTACGGTTAGCTCGCTGTTGTCTTGAGGGTAGTGCTTCGCCTGTTGACTAGCACTACGTTCTGTAATCATTTTTATCCGTTGACTAGTAATCACGACTAGCTCTTTCCATGGCAACAAAGTGGTGTGGTACCAAGATGTACTGGAGCTGGTACCACCACAAACAAGTGAGAGCTCAGAACACCCGAGAAAGCAAAACGAAATACTCGCACAAGCTTGAATTGAAAGGGTTTTGCCGTGCGCCATGTGCAATCTCAGAGTGTGCCTTTGATGACTGTCAACCTTTGCTCGCCTACTGGTCCGAGATTTGAGGAGTTTCATGATAGTCGTTGAACTAACAGCCTTTTTCAACCTTTATCACTGCAATCAAATCGTCTCTCTCTTGTGCAACGTGAATCTATTATATTACTACACCAGGGTCAAGCATCACGTCACGGAAAATTGAGTGCTTGGTACGATCCCCCCCTAAAAAGAAGTGCCCATACGACCTCCCCCTCTTGGTTTGGAGGCATCTGCTCTGTTTATCAGGATGCACAGTCGTCATACGGGCAGTTGAATGGGGGTCAAAGGGTCGCAGCGCGGCTGCGGCGCGTCACTACCCTCAGCTGTTTCCAGCCTGGTTTAGTAATTTTCTCCCTTATTTTTACTGCAGTTTCTACTTTTTCAAGGTAAGTTTTTTTATCTTTGTGAAGTACATTAATACGTGGACTCTTGTCTTTGCTCCCTTGAGTGCTTTGGCAGTTCTTTTTAGGTACTTGTTCAATTGTTTGTTTACTTAATCAATTCTTCGCGAAAATTAGAGAAATCTTCATCATAACATATCTTGTGAAGAAAAGGAACAACTAAACTTAGAAAAGCAGCCAAAAACAGTATTAAGTAGAAAGAAAATGACTAAACCAGGCCGCAAAAAGCTGATCGCCGCCAACAGTTCCTACGTACGCGGTTGTTGTAATTCCATTCATCCTCGTCGTACGCGTTCTGCACATTCCAAGTATTACAACAATCTCCATTCAACAACCATCTTTCGCAGAGCGGTGAGGACTATTCACGTTGCACGGCCAAGCTATATAAGAAATACACCACACGTCCCATTAAGCATGCATGGCGGCTCCTGGCCAGTGAATGATGCGGAGATTTTGCAAAGGGAAACCCGAATTTTCGACCTTTCAATAGCGACAACTTTGCTCAGGCATAATAAAGAACGAACATCTACCTGGCATTGAAAATCCGTAGGTTTTCTCTTTTAAATGAGCTCAACTGCCTTGCTGTTGCTCAATTATAACTAAAATTCGCCCGTCGCGGAAAATGACAAAAATGACGCGGAGAATTTTTTCGCGAACGGGAGTTTTTCTACTTTCCAGAGGCCATAACTTCGTTCAGGCTTGATTTGGGACGGAGACCACACGGCTTCGAGAAGTAGAATGTTTTCTGTTCCCAATGAGCGAAACCCCCTTGCTTTAGTCCAACAATAGTGGAAATTCGCAGACTTCTCTCTGAAAGGAAGATGTAGCTGCAGTAAACTCCCCGTACACCTTCTTCTCTCCCTCAGCACAGAGGTGCTGATCAACGCCTCCATGGAATGCGCCATGTACTCGATATTCTTCCCGAACGCATCTCCCATTTTGCCAGCTTGCCAGCTTCGTCGCTGCTTGAGTACTGACCTTTGCAAATATGACCCTCCCTCTCCAGACAGAGGTCAAATACGACCCCACTGTCGTGGATTGCGTGACGTATGCTTGACTCTGAACTCCACACCAGGCAGAGGAGCAATGGGTTAGGTTTCAGTCCCGTTATCTTCATTACGAGTAGCTTCACTTCGAGACTTTGGGAAGCATATAAAGCATATAACCTTAAACTAACGCTGCTTTTTTTGTATATTGACTTACACTCCGTCCAGTCTGAAAACCTTGTTGTAAAGATTTTGCGTAAGTCTCCATAAGGCTGTATAAGCACGGTCAGCATCAGTGCCTTGACTTCCGAGAAATTCGGACAGTTCTGTAATTTGAAGAACAAAAGTTGCACGTACTTCTATTGCGAAATTCTTACAGAACCATTCAAAAACTCTACTTCCGGGGCACTTTCGAAAATCTTCTAAAGGAAACGTTGAATGCTGACCCAACTTTCGTGGAAGTTGCAAGGGGAAAGCTCCACATGTGAACTGATAGGAAACTCCTTTTTCTCAAAAACGGACACTGCGCTCTTGTTGTAAACCTTAGCACCTTTGCCTGTTTCTCTTTTCCTTTCATTTCTGATCAAATGCTTTGAGTGTTACAACTTCCTTTCAGAGGGCGAAGAGCGAACCACTGTCGGATTTTGAAACAAGAGAATCTATCACAAGTCTATCCCAAAAATGGAGCAGAAAGAAACAAATTTTCAAGGCGCGCGAGAGTGTGCCAGAATGAATAAACTAGAAGACAATAGTATCGCCGAGGACCCCTGCATATCGCGACTATTCGCGATCTTATTAGTTTCTGTATTTGTTGTTTTGTTTAGTATTTACCTCTTTCATTTAGTTCAGTGCATGCCCCACGTGGCAAGAATGGTTAGTTCCCTCACATGTTGCGGTCGCGTTCGAGCCTTTCGCGAGGAGACGCTCTCTCTCTCTCTCTCTCTCTCTCTCTCTCTCTCTCTCTCTCCCTTTTCTTTATAAAGTGTACAGTCCCGCCTCGAGAGAAGCTCGGGAGCGACAGTTAGCCTTTCCTTCGCAGCACAGCTGCCTTAATTGTGGTCAACAGTAATTTATTTCTTTTATGTTGCTTTCAGGATGCTATATCACTTTGGAATTTCTAAGTGCAGGTTCGTAGTAGTAGAAGCAGTGTGGGCCGTGACTCTGTTGCTCTGGTTGGTCATAGACTTGGTATATCCACACCAGTCGGATCGCACTCGTGCTCTCCTCGCTTCTCTTGAGCTCGGCTTCGCCAGGCGGCTCCATAATTTAACGGAACTTTTTCGGTAGTGGGCTGCTCATAAGGCGCTGTAGTGATCGAATCGTAACAGACAGAGCAAGGCTTAGGATCCCGCACAACTCAGCACGCGCTTCTATTTACAGCAGCGGTGTAGTCCGCGCCATGACGCCCATAGAATACATAAATCTGTAGATAGATACAATGTGTAGTCGGCCAATACAGCGCAATATGAATCGCTCAGTGAATAAAGTTAGTTGCCGCAGTTCATGGCAACTGAGTAAACAACCGTCATGCATCTGAACTCCAGTTGCTTTAGCGGCCGTACATGATGTCGATAGCGGTAAGAGCATAGGAGTGAGTTGTGTACGAACTACTGAGAGCCTGATACCTGTCATATCAATCGCATTGTGGCAGTAAGCGGTGTTGCGGATTCCCGCTGATGACGCTTTCGACCCTTTATACTTAGCTGTCATCAGAC